CCCAGCAAACCCATCTTTGCCAATGCTTCCAAAGTGGGATGATCCATACCTGCTTGAGATGCTTCTGGTCTTGGCCTGTTGGTCCAGCTCACCCTCATCTCTCAAGTTTCTTCCTTCCCAACATATTTTTGGGTCATCTGTGAAGAATATGCCTGTTTGCCAAGGCACTTACTTCTTGTGCCCAGTGGATCCTGATGGATGGAGCCAGGCATCAGGGCTCCTGTGAACATGGGGCCCCACCTAAAGGCACCTCAGTCAGAGGCAGCACAACTGCAGCCTCCCCTCCTTCCAGTGGTGCTGCTGATGGAAGCAAATGGTTCCTGGAACAAGCCCTAATATGAGGCAGCAAGTGTGTGAGGCCTAATAGTAGAGGAACCACATGTTTGAGTTTCCTACTCCATGAATGAGGCTGGCCAAGTCTGACTCATCACCGAGGCACGCTGGGCAGAGAGAGGGACTCAGCTCATTTCCTCTGTGTTTTATTTGTCCCTGCATATGTTGCGATCCCATAAGCACTGGGGGACAGAGGAGCTGCATATCAGGACAGCAAGTGGTGGGAGGAGAGGAGATGGAGAAAGGCAGAGACTAGGAGCAGCCTTGCCTCCATGCACTTTTCCCTTTGCTCCACCGTTCTCTGTGCTCGCAGCTAAAGCACTGCTGGAGCACATCGGTGCTGGCAAGGGGCACAGAAAGATATTGTAAAGGGTGCTGGAAGCCAGTGGGACAGGAGCAATGAGGATAAATGATAAATGAAAGCAAGTAGTGGATAAATGAAAGTAGGTAATGTTCACTACTAACATGGGCACTGCAGTGTGTTTCCACATTTCATTGTCCTCCCTAGACGCTAAACCAGACACATTCCTGACTGCTATAAAAATATCCTTGAAGATCTGTTCATTCTTATCCCTGTCCAAGGTAGAAGAAAGCTGGGAGGGAACTGCCTTTCTGAGCCACAGTTTATTGGAAGCCATGTGTGTGCATGTGTGTGTGTATGGGTTGCCTACACTTATGTGAAAACCTCTCATAAGAACAACCCTACAAGCCATCAGGAGTGAAGGGAGCCCAATGACATTTCTTTCTACTCCCAAAGTAAGCCTTGAAACACAATGCTTAACTCCCAGCCCACTCTGCCCTTTGCGGAGGCCAGACTGTAAGGTGCATTGCCCAGCCCAACAGACCCTGCTTTGGTGGTCGTCGCAGGGCTGGCATCCCATCCCATCCCTGCTTGCACTTCATAGCACTGAAGCCTTCCTGAGCAATGTTTCGTCTCTCAGCTTGCAACATCTCTCCTCAGCCGTGGTCATGGCAGCAGCAGCAACCGCAGCGTGGGAGGTAGCAGGCTTCAGTGTCGGACTGGAAAGCCTTTCACACCTTAGGTTAAATCACTGCTTTCAGAATTGATTTATGGGCATAATTATTCATACATGGAGGAATTTTCAGGCAAATGTATGGGTTTGTAATGGAAGAGACAAGCAGTCTCCCAATCCTACCTTTCATACAGCCATCCCTGCAGGGTCCTGGGACATGGTCCTGTATGTGGGAGGTAAAGCAAGGGTTAGCACGGGGGGGTGCGTGAGCTCCTGTTTCCCTCCCCCAGCCTCAGCCAAAGCACGGTGGTAGCATGGCCCCAACAGGGGCTGCTGGATGCAGCTTCTCAGGCGGCAGCAAGCCAACAACCATTTTGTGGCAGGATCTGGCCTGTGTGTGACAGCAGCCCCCAGCTCCTGGCCAGGGTTTGCCTCGCTGTGTGCCGTTCCTATTAGATGCTTGGCCCTGCTTGGAGAAAGAAGAGGGCATTAAATATTCCCTGCCTTGTGGTGCATGTAATAACAGTCAATATCTCGGTAGCGCAGAAGCAGAGAAGAAAGCTTTTGCTGCGGTATTGGGGGATGTATCCAAGCAAAGCAGGAGCAGTAAAGGTGTTGCCTGTGCAAAGCTGCATCAAGACCTGCAGCCTCACTGCCATCCTCTGGAGCCATAGGTAGAACTGATGTCTCCATAGTTCCTGGCGCTGTGGATGCCTGTGCCAGGTGCACCCGGGGATGGGAAAATCCCCCTGAATCTTGCTCAGCTTTTCTTTAAAATAATTAACACTGAATACATAGGATTCTTGGGGACATACCTCTCCCACACACATCTAAAGGACCTGAGTATTGCCCTAGAAGGAAATAAAAAAAATCTCACACTTTTCATCTCTTGCCTAATTTTAAAAGTCAGGATTTTTAGAACATCTTGTGGAAACACTATCCTAGGGTTAAAGGTGATTAAATATAAATTATGAACTATTCCATAATATAAATTATGAACTATTTCCTAAGAGGGGTGTCTCCTAGGAAAAACGGGCATGTCTGGACAACTGTTTTTGGTGAGATGACATGCCACAAGAACTGTAGCAGCCTTATAACTCTCCATGTCAGCCTTGCCTTTCCCCAGCATGGTGCAGGGCTGGCTGCTCTGCCAGGTGAAGGTTGCCATGAACCTTTACCTCTGCAAGGTCCCAGAGCTGTCTTGATTCAGTTAATGCTATTTTTTCCATTGATGCAGTTGTTAAAAAGATGAATATATTAAAAAAAAAAAAAAAAAAAAAACCACAAACCAACACGCTAAACCCAGAAACTATGTCAATTCTTTGAAGAAAAAGACTTTATTCATTAAAACTAAACCATGCAGGTCTGATTCTATTTCCACTCATAAAAATACCTTGGCACCGTGGTCAAACAATTCATATAAATTCTGCAACTTCTCCGTTTTTACAGCAGTGCACGGAGAAAATCAAAACCAAATGTGTTACACTAGAGAAAGGAGAGGCAAAATTTCAGCCACCATGTGTGCTGTTTACCCAGGGCCAATGCACTGGACGAATCTTAGCAGAAAATCGTGGTAGTTTGTGTGCTAGACATCCTTTCTGCAGCTACATCTATTTTTAGAGTGGCTCCCGAATTGCAATTTCAGTGCCAGACATTGTAAAAGGTACGTGGAAATTGCTCCACTGCATGTTACCAGTGACAGGTTGATGCTAATAAATAGTGTTGAGAAATGCTGAGGCTTAAAAATGTCTTTGTGATCCCCAAACGTTTGAGAAATGTTACTTTAATTAATATGGTGCTTTGCTTCTTAAGCAGAACAGCTTTATTTGAATTTTGCTCATATAATCATTAGTAAAGTTCTCACTCATTGACTGCGTTTTGATGAATAAGGATATACAGGCTCGGATGATAAATTTCTCAGTCGACTTGCAGGAAAAATGACCAGAAATGTCCGTTTGCACACATATCTTAATGCCCCCGAAGGAAAGAAAAAGCAATAGATGAATTACACCTTCATGTCTAGTCTCCACCTTATTGTTAACAGTCTCACGTAAGATGGAAAAAAACCCCGAAGAGGCAAGCTGCTTCCTCTCCCCCTCGCTTTCAGCCGAGGGACTGGAAAGATCCTCTGGCCAGGGTGGGACAGGCCCTCCTCCTCCTCCTCCTCTTCCTCCTCCCATGGCGCTCCCGGACCCGCAGCCGCGGGAGGGACTGCGGCGGCCCTCGAGGGGCTGCTGCTGCCGGGGGCAGGGCTGGGGCCTCCCCGTCGAGGAGAGGAGGCAGATCCGCCTGACCCACAGCAAACCCAGGCAGCTCCTGCTTCCTTC